CCCCCCCCCCCTGGACCAGCCGAGAGAAATGCGAACGCCCCCGCCCAATCGCCACCACCCGCGAGGAGCACACTCCAAATACACAGATGGGAACAATATCTGCGTCCACAGATCACACCACGATGCGTGTAAACAGTGGACCCGCGCACGCGATTACACAGTTGAAGACGCAATCTGTGCACACAGATCACACATTGATCTGTGCATTTCAAAAAGATGAACGCTCGCCACCTCGAAGGTGCCCCTACTTTGCCAAACCAGAATCGAGATCGACATGCCCAGCCCGGGAGGAATGCAAATACACACTTGCCTGGCCCAGGGCGGCCCCGGGGGCGCTGCGAATACACAGTTCCCTGGCCCAGGGCGGCCACCGTGGGCTGCGGCGCCAAGGCGGCCGAATCTGTCCCGAATACGTCCCTAGAGGGCCCCGATGGACCCGCAAGAAGGCCCCGCAGCAGTCCGATAACACGAGAAGTGTCACATGTCACGGACCTCTGAACAAGCATAACCTCAAGCGTCGCCATACAAACAGCTGCGCTGGCACGGGGGTGGGCTTTGCCGGGGGCATGTATAATTTCGCTTTCACATGCTCGCGATGCGTTTGTGTTTGGCGGCCGCAGCCGCCGACGCTTGAAGTGCCCCCCGACAACTTGCCTTGGCACCCTCTACTTGGTTACGTCGCTGTGCTCGGACATCGAACGGGCGGTATAACGCCAACGCGGGCACGCGGCTCCAGGGACCTCGCTTGCCTTCGAGCAAGGAGGGAGGGCGAGGTGAATCGACGGATGATGGAGCGGGGAGGCAAAGAAAAAAACGGACAGGGGAGCAAGGGGGGGCAATGGGCGCCCTCCCGCCCGAGCCGCGGACGCTTCGACCCCCGTCCAGGGGGCGAGACAGGAGGACGAGGGAGCAAGGAGGAGGAGGAGGACGACGGAAAGCACCATAAATGTGATCCACATGTATACCAGATGCTGACGGTTGGGGTGCGCGTATTTTCGAGGCACTTCAAGCCCGCCCCATGCTGAATTCACTGATTCCTCCCAACTGTGTAAACACCCTGCCCTCTGTACCCCCCTCCTATAGAACTGCCTCACAACAGAGGGGCACTGGATTCCAATCGGAGACAACCCTTTCGGCGCGCCCAAGCCTTCTGGTACGAACGGTTGCCTGGCGTCCGAAGCATCCAGCCCGTCACCTATGATGTCGCCATCGTCATCCGTTTGGCACCGCATCTGGCGAAGCATGGAGACTGGGACACTGACGGCCTCGCCATCCAGACCGCTGGGGTCTACTTGAAAATCTGGCTGTGTCCACAGATGCCACACCAGCTGTAAGAAGATGGTCAAGTCACAGTATGGCAATTGCACCTGTGGTAACCATGTCGCCCTGGGGACACTGGCGCACGCGATGAGCGGCCCTTCCGCGCCGTGCGCGCCGCGCGGAAACGGCAGTGTACTCAGCTGCCCATCGCCATCGCGCCAGGAGCGCGCCATGCCAGGCAAGTACCAGAACCATGACTCCTGTGACGTGGTCACCATAAACGGCACAGCGACCCCCTGGCAGGCATCTAGGAGCTCCACCAGGGCCAGTTCAAATTGGTTCTGCAGCACCACCTGTTCCGCCTGCACAGAGTCAAGACCAGGCAGCCCGCGCATGTATGACCACGAGCGCTGGCCTGGCAGCGCCTCCTGTGAGTACCAGTGAACAGGGAGGATAACTACGAGCGCCTTGAACCTTCCGTCCAAAATTTGATGCTTGCACTACTGAGTATCACGCAAGAAAGAGACGCGCTCCCCTTTGCATAAACGAATTCTTGTATAAGTGCCCAGAGTCTTCCCTTTGAACACCGCTGACACCTCCGGAGAGCCATCATCTAGAATCAAAACACGTTGGCCGCCTGGTGTCTGAGACTGCTCCACAACCAGGTGCCCCATCGCGCGGGATGTAGGCCCACTCGTAGCTGCCCCTTGGGGGTCCCGCAAATCCACGAGCGCCTCCAGCCTCGAATCCTCAGCGTTTGCCAGCGCCCTTTCTGGCGCCTCGGTTTGCCTCCTTCTCGGCGAAGACGCCCTGCCAGAACTTCTGTTTCTTGGCCTGTCGGTTGGAGATGTTCCCATCTCCCGGCGCACGCTTGTTCGGCTTGCCGCCGCCCTTGCCGTCGGCGCGAAACGAACGGCCTGCTGGGCCACCGCCGCCACCCCCGCCATCCGCCAAGCCAGACAAGTAATTCGCCCGATTCTCCATCAGAACCTGCTGCTTGGCCAACTCCCTGGCGGTGGTGGCTGACCGGCGTGCCAGGGCGTCCGCCGCGGCCTGCTGCTTCGCCAGGGCGGACTCCTCGGCCGCCGCCAGGACAGCGCCCGCGGGCGCCGAACCAGACCCTGCCAAGGTGCCCGTCCCCATTGCTTTCAAGAACGGCTGCAACCTGGACATCGCCGTGCTCCAGATCTGGTCGTCCTTCATGCCGGCCAAGTGCAGGAGCTGCAGTGCTGGGTCACGTCGTTCTGCGCGCTGCGCCCAACTCCTCCGCAACAGGTCGTCGTAAACGAAGGCGCATACCGGCGTGCCGCGCTGCGTGGACTCCTCCTGCGCCATCTTCAGAATGAAGTCATAGTGCACCATGCCCGTGGCCCAGTCGAGCTGCTGCGTGCCGACAGCCGGGATGAGGTACCGCATGAAAGCGCCAGCCCACTGCGCCGTAGTGCGGAACATCCGCGGCGTAGCCGACGCCGCTTTCAGTGCCGCTGCCAGCTTGGACACCGTCGCCTCTGTCGCGCCGTCCGCGCAAGCGGCCTGCTCCACGCCTGCCGCCG